TTTTAGCGGAGATTCACTTGCAGAAGCTCGTCCTCTTCTGACATGGACATATTTGTTGTGAAATGGACATATTTGCTTTACTTTCTAACATTTACAGATGGAGAATATGTGAAATGTAAGTTGAGCACTGAGGAAAGCACCACATCTCAAACGCATTAAACAGCGCAAGTATATCTGTCAGTCAGCAACAGTGTCTGTCAGAGCATTTGACAGGGCGGCAAGCTCAGCTGCCTTAAACTTGTTAACTATATATCAAAGTGATTTTGACGCAATTAATATAAGCTTGTGTCATGTTTAGGACAAATTGTACCCGTAGCCTAGCTACTTTCACTGCAGCAGCTCACACTGCAATCTCCGCTATTTTTCAGATGTGCTCATATCAAACTACTGTATCGATATAAACGGTATTGCCTCATTCCATATCGTTTCAAAAAATATAACGATACATCGTACATATTCGATATATCGCCCAGCCCTAGCTGCAGCAGCGTTTTGCGTTTTGAATCTCCGGAGGGCGTTTTAGTGTGGACAAAACGGAGGATTTCAGAAACGCTGACGCAGAGGCTGACGCTCGGCTCTATGATTGGGTGTTTTCAGTCATGACGTATCCTTCCCTGATTCGTCAATCACTGTTTACACCGGCACGCGCATGCCCAGTGTTGGTGAATGGTCACGTGATCCGCGTTTTCAGTCGTTTTAATGTGGACGGAGATCATTTCTAATACGCAGATAAAAAGCTGGTGTGGATGGAGATTGTTTTCGTTTTAATTCTCCGTTTTTAAATGAAAACGTAGTAGTGTGGACGGGGCCTTAAGAGTCAAACTGTATTGATTTCCACTGCACTCGCTGCCAAACGATTGCCAGTGTCAAGAAAATACAATCAGTCCAGTCACAAGAATGAAAAAGAACGGCTTTCTGACTCCCAAATATCCATTGTGAATCTTGCAGACAGGAACGTCCACGGACACACTGCCAAGTTCCCACACACACTCTCCACCAGACCAGGATGCTGTGGCGGTAATTAAACACCTTGATCTCCAACTGCCTAATCACACCCAGTGTCTCACTCACAGTCACACTAGTCATGAGTTTTCTCTGTATGCTGTTCCAGATCTGACCATACCTATTAATCCCAACCTTAACAAAACACTGATATCAAATCAACAAAGAGGAATTAACTTCTATGGATGGACTTAAAACTAGAGCTGGGCGATATGGCCAAAAAAATAGTTCATTATCTTGTTATCATTTTACCGAGGAAAATTATATCGCGATAATTATACTTTTTTTCCACCTAGGCCTACTTAAAACTAACTTACACAGCTTAAAGTTGCAGTAACCAATTTCTGAAAAAAAATGTTGATATTTGAAATAGACACCCATTCAATACTGCTCAGCGCCCAAAATAATGAGCATGCAACAAAGGCAACCACTACATCCGGCGCATCAGACAGCTTGCGCAAGTATGGGTGAATCAACAACAACAGCATACAACAGCTTGGTTCTGTAAAAAGCAAAAACCAATGTTACTCGCGTATCGAACACAATTAGGGCTGCAACTAACGATTATTTTGATAATCGATTAATCGGACGATTATTTTTTCGATTAATCGATTAATCGGATAAAAAATTATATTCCATTTTTTTTGTTTATTATAACAAAATAAAACCCTAAAAACCACACTCTTTTGTGTGTTAAACAATCTACTTAATACAGACATCTTCATTATAAAGAAAAACAACAAATAAAAAGATATATATGACCATAACCTATGACAAAAATGCTATTGTAAACTAGATTAGTGGATAACTCAGCAAAACTTAGCCTAGAAATATCACAAGTGCACAATAATTTTATAAAATCTGAACATTTAGTGAAAAAAACATTCCTTAGTGGGGAACAAATAAGAGACAATAAGTGTAGCACTAACTCTGGTAAAACGTACACATTGCTCTTTGTATTGTTGTTATACATTCATGAAAAACATCGTAAAAATCAGATGCACAACTGTTTTAAATGTAAAGCACAGCTGTTTAGTGAGGACGCAAAATATAATAGATAGGACAGAACAAGAAAGGCTATTAATAAGCTTTCATTGCGCAAAAGTATTATGACATGATCATGAAAGAGCTGCACAAAGTGCTTATGCTCATCGCAAGCGCTGAATGATGCGCTTGAAGCAACACGGAGTCACAGGGCGGCGCGCAGCTCTTCAGTGTCCGCCGCATTCAAGTTAAAAGCACCAAAGAAAGAGAAAGACATATTGACTGTGTATTATTCAGGATCTATGCAATAGTTTATTAAGACTTTTCTTTTAACAGTTTTAAATTTCAGTTAGGCTACTGTGCACGTGAAGAACAATTATACTGCGCCGACTCTACTATAGTGTTGTGATCTAACAGACACTCAGTAGAAAGTGATTAAGTTACAGCAATAAAAGTCTAGCAAGATAGAAAAACCATCATAGACCTTTATCTACGGATCAATTATAATAATAACATTGAATCATCTTGGAAAGAGATCATCATGTGTTAACTGTTGTAACGCGACGCGCTGTTTGAACACCGAATAGAGAATGACTGACAGCCGCAGTGGAGGGAAAAGCTCAGGTTAACTTGAATTTAATGACTTAAATTTACATTTCTATCTCACATTATACTATAGTATGGCTTCATAAAGTATACACGATTAACATAGGTCACTTATTTTGGTTTCAAAACGGCGAATTTACCGAAAGGTGAATGATTTTCGTGTATGCTGCATATTGATAGCGGTTTCCTGATGCCCGCAAATTAGTTCAAACTCACGGAATCAAGAGCGCGCATGCGAGACAGAAGATAATGTGCTCCAAACCGTCCGTGTTGCGCGCGCGAGACAGGGTAGAGCGGCGAGGGAGAGAGACTGCATGTGCGCCTCATGAAGCGCATGTAAGAAGCGCATGTTCCATGTAAACAATCCCCGTGACGTAATCAGACCAACTAATCGATAATGACATTCGTTGACAACGATTTTCATAATCGATTATAATCGATTTTATCGATTAGTTGTTGCAGCCCTAAACACAATCAAAGCAACCTCAGTATTCGTTTTCAGCCCTTCACGCTCTCTCGCGTCTTTCCAGCACGGGAAAGCTTTTCAAATATTTTACACGTATAGATCATAGCTCTTGTCTGATCGTAACCCTTCTTATTCCAAAAATAATTGGTAATACCGTCCTCAGGTAATACCTCAGCCATCTCTCTTTTTACAATCTATCTGCAAATGTCCATCTCCGCCCCATCATATTGGCTACAAGAGTTTTGTTTAGGGGTTGATTTAAATTTCAACAGCGTTTCTCAGAAATTACTTACTGTGCCTTTAAATAGGCATAAGTACAGAGCACCTAAAAATAAAAATGTTGTCATCATTTCATTTGTTCATCCTTGCATCTTTCAGTAAGACTTTCCTTCTGCTGTTAATTTCTTCTGTGAATATCCAAGCTACTTTTGCCATGCAATGAAAGAGACCACAGCTGCCTAGCAAGATTTTAAATTTTAATCTGACTGTTTTGGTCTTATGACTTTATAACTTGACTTGTGACCTTTTGTATGGATTTCTTGACAGTCACTGATCCCCATCCACTTCCATTGTTTTCTTTAAATATTCTTCTCCTTTAGTGTTCCACAGCAGAAAGAAAGTCATAATGGTTTGAAAATACATGAGAGCAAGAGCAAGAGAGTAAACTGACTAAATGTACAGATGAAAAACTAACAGTTTTCAGGCAAAAGAAGAAACTCCGCCGCTAAAAGACAACAAATAAAATGTGGTTTTGATGGTTAAGGGCCATTTACACAACACACAAGTCACGACCACAGTGTTTTGGTGGCCTGAAAACTCAAACTTTCAAAAGCGGGTTTCAAAGTGCAAGTTTTTGAAAAGAATACCATTATCTTCTCTGTGTAAACTACAAAAACTCAAATTTGTGAAAATGGTGACGGCCATGCGTATTACATGTTCAGCATATAGACGTGCAGTGTTTCTTTACGAAGTGACATCACCAACTACTGGCCTGGTATGAATAATACAGTGTTTTTCACAGATAGTGGCTCATTTTAACAACATTGTCGTCAGTGCGTGAAAAACGCAAAGAAAAACTTGTTTTTAGAAAGCCAATATCGATGTTGTGTAAACATACCCCTAGTGAATGTTATCATCCCAACTTTTTAACATGTCGAAATCATAGAATTTACCTTAAGCTATTGCAACTCTTTGTGGTGATGTACAAAGACTTTTATAGCTACACTTTACATTTCCACCGATGACTAGTCTTAGCCAATGTTGACCGAGCATTAACACAGGCCTGTGCTTTCCCAAGAAGTCAAGCCATATGGATGAACAAACGGAGTGTGTTTGTGATTTAGTTTGTCTCCAAAAGAACCGGCAAGTCCACTGCTTTTAAACAAACCACTGAGCAAACATTAATCAGATCTATAACATTAGTCTATACGACTCAAATACCCTTTGTAGAATGTCTAAATGCATGTATCCTGCCACCTGGAATATTCAAGAGGGGACAAGGAGTTTCAGGACATGTCTTTGTTAGATCAGGATGGTCTCTTTGATGAAGCTAAACAAAAGATGAAGCATATGCATATTGAAACAGTTTCAGATGATGAGCACATCACAATGGCAGATAAATGAAATTATACCCAGTAAAGAAGCTGTACTCCCAGTGGAATAGTGCTGGGCTGGCTGGGTGGGAATGGTTAACAGGGAGGGGCTCAAACCCCACAAAAAAAAAACAGTGAACCACTTTCTAGCAACATCAGATGAGGGACAATAGCAGTTTGTCAGATGTGGTGTGTTGCTGATGCTGATCTTGTAACTAATGGCAACAACTGCATCTGTACAAAGAACTCAATCCGTGAGGGAAAGTGGAGGCAATTGAAATGGCCTGTTGTGGAAAACCAATAAACACTGGGGTTGATTGTGAAGGTTTTAATGCAGAAATATAACTTACCACCATCCCTATCTCCAGCTTAGGCGGGAGGGACCAGCAGGGCTCCGTGTTTGGATCAGGATGCGTTTCCAAAGTTTCTTCCCACATCAACGCCTTTTCCTTACATCCTGGTTTTATTTCGCAATAGTGTGTTAATGACCTGGATCGCGCAAAAGCACCACCGGACGCTGAGACTGAAGAGACGTTAGAGTGGAGAGCCCCCAAATAAACAGCCAAAGGAGGAATAGGAGAAGGTAAATATGTCCAGCGCGTCCTCACAGAACTCCACAAATCCCGCACAGATACATATCGCTACTACTGTGACGTCCAAAAACAAATTACTCAGACAGGAGACTCAAATCGATCAAATTCCCCGGAACAGCAGCATCGTCCCCGCGTGTTCTCCCGCCCATCTCATCTCACTGCTCGCTGGGAGAACTGAGGGGTTCTTCGCCGCTCCCAAAACAACTTACGGGTGCCCTCGCTTCACCCAAACACGACCGGGGAACTTTTTTACGATTTATATCGTTGCATTACAAAATATTTAGAATCCAATAAAACTGTCTACGCCGTGAGTGATAGTAGCGCTGTGTTGTTGAACAAAGTCAAACTTTAGGAAAGACAACCAAGATGTGCTCCCCTCTTTTCCAGAATGGAATGTTCCACTGAGGTGGCCCGTTGGACAAAAGGAAGCCTGGAGCGCGCCGCTGATCAATGGGCGGAGGCGCGCAATCGTCATCCAGTAGAATTAACAAAATAATGAAGGCAAGAATTTACCGAGAATAACCCCCCTTGTGTGGTAATTGGTATATGTTGTTATGGCAAACACGGACATGTAAAATTATAGTACTGTGGGGTTTTTTTAAGTAGCTTGGTATTTAAACAAAATAGCCTACCCAAAAATACAAAAGGCTACATAAATATGGTAATAAGTCACTACTATTCAAATAAAACGCTTTTATTTGAAGTATCTTGGAATACCATATGGGCTAACATAGTTAATGTTAATCAATTGTGTGTAGCTTATTATCAAAATTCACATACTTTTTGTTTTTGCATAGTCAGTGGATACTCAGGGCAGGCATATCTGAGTACAGTGATATTAACGTTTCTGAACATGTACCACCTCTCACAAAATATACTGTGAAATATACCATACTCTGATACATTACATCATACTTCCAACATTACATGTTCACCACAGTATTACGATATGTAGAACTGTAGAGCATTAATATGACGACTTTTCAGTACCATGACATTATCATCTGATACCATCATGCACCACAGAACTTTTAAGAAAGGACATTTTTCTATTACATATGTTTTGAGCTTTTATATAACACATCACTTTATTTCAAGGAGCAAATACTGTCTGTAAAACCATCTAAACGTGAATTAGTGAAAAGAGACACTACAACCAAATATGAAATGTTAACAGATAAACAGACCTATTAATGTGAAAGCATAAAGACAGAGAGAGTACAATCAGAACAAATACATTTGTAAACAGGCTCCTGAAAACAATAAGACATTACATTTAAACTGAAAAGCTATCCTAATTGTGATTAAGAGTTAAAACTCACTTGTGGCTCTACGATGCATTCTCTCCTGGTGTTGTGATCTGTGTATATTCTCAGTTGTTTGTCAGACAGATTAATGCACGAGCCATTTCTGCTTTTTTCACATCAGCTTTAGGAAACGAGTATTTTAGAAGCACATGCAAGTGGGCGTTTGTGGTTAGAGAGAAAATCTTTTGGTTTCCTATCAACAGTGACTATGAGAGCTTTTCCCAAAAAATAATAGATGGTAATTTTATCATCATGTCTTTATATTATAAAAATATTATTATGTGTACTAACGTTTACAACAGGATCAAAGAATTATGCATCATTCATAACTTTGGGGAGCCACCTGGTGGTTTCTGTCAGAATCACAAGTTGAGGCATTCGAGATTTAATAAACGGGTCAGAATTGAAACTAAAGAAACTCCAGTTTATTGAAAAAATTTGCATTATTTTTTACACATAATTAATTCAAACATCCACCTGGTATAGCAACAAACGTAACTGCCGCCTGAACTTTGAAGTTAAATGTTTATGACATGGATGGGGGCATGGGGTACAAAACCAATATCCAAACTAGTTTCATAACTACACGTTTAAAAATCTCTCTTGATGCATTCTGGACAAGTGAAAGATTTTTACAGCATGCAGTGAGAGAGTGTGTGACAATACACATGAAAATAAATGTAGATTTATTAGTAATAAGGGCCATGTGGGACGTTGACAGTCGCTTGTTTGTAACTAATGGAGGATTGTGACTGACTCCTACTCGTCATATATGACCTGGATCAAACAAATCAAGTCCACAGTGTCAGTGTAGATGGATTATCTCAGTCCCAACTTCTTTTTCTCCTTCTGTTTCTTACGCACAACTTCCAGATTGCGGTCCTTCCATGAACTCTTTCTCAATTTGATGGGTCTGCTGCCCACATACCTCCCTAAAGACAAAGACAAGAGTGTGAATTTAACAGTTCCAGATGTGCTGGATACAGATCTAAGTTTGATTTCAGACTTTTTCAAAAATTAAATTGTCCTGGAGATCATTTCAAATGTGTTTAGTGAAACTAATGTGGTGTTTGCTTACCAAGATAGCTTTTATTTGGTAAAAAAAAAAAAAAATACAGTAAAAACACACTTTCAAAACACTTTCTATGCAAATATATTAAATATAATTTAATTAAATATAATTTATTCCTGTGACGCTGTTTTTTCAGCATCATTACTCTAGTCTTCAGTGTCACATGATCATTCATAAATCCTTTAATATGCTGATTTGCTTCTTAAGAAACGTTTCTTATTATTATCAATGTTGAAAATAGTTGTGCTGCTTCATATTTTTGTGGAAACCATGATAATTCACCTTTGATGAAGAGCAGAATGTTCTGAAACATTATAAATGTCTTTACTGTCACTTTTGATCAATTTAGTGCATCCTTGCAGATTAATTTAAAAAATATAAAACTCGGAAAAAAACAACCCCACAATTTTAACTCACCGTTCATTTCTCTCATGGCGCGCACATAATCATTGGGGTCTTTAAAACTCACGAAGCCGTAACCTTTTGTTTTCCCAGTGCGTTTGTCTCGAACAACCTTCGCCTTCAGGAAGGATGGATAACGGCTAAACGCTCTCGCCAGAATGTCATCGTTCACCTCATTCCCCAGATCTCCACAAAATATCCGGAAATCATCTGAGAAGACAAGAACGACGTACAGTAGATTATATGTTTTTGGCTGCTTTAAAAAAAAAAAATTTAAATAAAGAATGTTGTATTGTCTAAATGTTCACACACCTGTTTCCCACTCTAATAGGCTGGTGTCCTCCCATGTGACACCAGCTGCCACCCGGATGCATTTCTTCTGCTTTTCCTGTTTCCCTTTCTTCTTGTCTTCTGTGCTGGTATCAGCAGGCTAGGGATATGTAAATAAAGAAATAATCAGAACCATATTCATATCAAGAATTGTTATTAGTATAACTATTAGAAATTATGTTTACGGCATGTTAATTGATATAAAGCTGAAATAAAACTAAATATAAATATAAGATTTTTTTAAACAAAATAAATAAGTTTAAGTTAACTTGCTGCTAAAATACAGAGCACAATGGAAGCTTGTTTCCGTCACAGAATAAAAAATAAAAAAGGTAATTGCGATTTTTTTATAATAATATCAGAATTTCATGATATAAAGTCACAATTGTGTGTAAAAGTCAGAATTAAGAGAAATAAACTTGCAATTCTGAGGAAAAAAAAAATCTATATTTTTCCTCAGAATTTGTCTTTATAACTCACAATTGCAAGTTTATATCTCACAATTCTGAGAAAAGATGTCAGAATTGGGAGATATAACGCCAGAAAATAATAGAAAAAATAGTTATAAAGTCATAAAGTCAGAATTGCGAGATAAAAAGTCATTTTATAATGCAATTCTGAGAAATAAAGTCAGAATGTAAACTCGAAATTGTGAGATTAAAAAAAAAGTCTCTTTTAAAAGGTTTTATTCTGAGCCGTAGGAAAAATAAGCATATATTTGCTATGAATTATCAATTCATTTTTACGACTTTCAAACTAGTAAGTCGTTCCCTTGTTTTAAGTAAATAATACACACGACACAATATAATAATTCGTTCCCTCGATTTACTAAATCATGGCCACGTTGTAATAGTTAGTTCCCTTAGCTATGCATTAATGAGCACTGTACCACTGTTCGTATGACTGTTTTTACTATACTTTTAAATTCTAAACTGTTTTAATTATTCTTAATATTAATATTTTAATGTCTTCTATTTAAAGCGCTTTGAATTACCATTGTGTATGAAATGTGCTATATCAATAAACAAGCCTTACCCTTATTTTAGTTCAATCAAATTGAGGGCATTAATTAATTTAACTTGGTTACGATTTACTAAAACGCGGGAACAAAATTCTTAGTTCATGGCCACAATATATTTATATCTTTATATATATGTATATACATATATGCTGAGAGAGCATGCTCTCTCAGCAGAATCACATAGTGACAAGGACACAGTTATCGAAAAGGAATGGCTAAAAATCCTTCTGGCCACAATGTCTTTCGTCCAACCCCTGTAAGTGTAATACGTCCTGAGCAAACTGAATAGGTAAATATTAAACCTCAACATGTGTAGGCTCAGGCTCTGGCTTGCTCGGCCCGATCTTGCTGTCATCAGGGACCACCTCCTTCTTCAATTCCAGAAGCCCAGCTGCCTTGACTGCGGCCTGCTGCTCCGCCACCAATGCTGACAACTCCTCCTGAGAAAACAAACCGAGAGAAGGTTTATATCATTACAAGCATTGCAAAGGAAACACAAGGAGATTTAAATTTCTCACTTACAATGTTTTTTTTTTTTTTTTAATGAATCATATGGTGCTTTGAAATTAAAAATTGATGCTCTGGAAACAGTGAATAGGTCCTACAGGGTTCTCACAGCACTAATGCATTTCCATGGCTTATCCAAGCATGTACACCACAATTTGCAAACCTTTCCAATTTCCAATTTGTAACTGTATTTAAACAGGGAAACCGTGGAGGTGTTTGGTCGCTTCTCTGCTTGGATCCTAATGAATGAACTGGGCTAGTTAAGTGCTATCAAAGTGTCTCGCGCGCCAGAGCGACTGACGAGAGAGGTATGCATCAACTCGTCTTAGGTAAGGGAATAACATAGTTTAATATGAAAAACGGAATATCCTTTTAAGGCATGAAGAAATTATTTTCACAGGAAAAAACCTTTCAACATGTAATTTGGATTTTCAAAGTTGAGTTAAGGGATACAATTATTGACTGCAGGGGGACTTTAAAAGGTCATGGACCTTTTTTATAGTGGATGTACTGCATATTTTTAAATTACACCTCGTGAGTGTGATCTATATAAAATGTCAGCACCGAACTTTCAAGCAAATCAGTGAAATAAGCAAATGGACTTTTGTGCGTGTTGATACTTTACCATGCGTGCTTGTTTTTGGCTCTTGAAGTCGATTCTCTTTGGGGCAGGGGTGCTGTGTAAACCGTGGGGCCGCCTGTATAACACTGGGAGTGATCTTCGCAGGGGCTTGACTCATGGGCCGCTGTGGTGCCGGAGGCATAGGGTTCATGTTTCCAACCTGCCATTTATTTAGAAAAACATTTGTGATACTGACATCTCACTTTTTAAAGCACAAAGTAACCTTAAAAATACCCTGACAGCTGATTGCAATTTCAGAAAATACCCACTGGAGGCATGGGCCCCATGGGTGGTCCAACTGGACCCATGGAGGGCTGAGGAGGTCCTGGCATTGGTGGAGCCATCATCATGGGTGGAGGAGGTGGAGGTCTGGGAAGAGGAGGTGCTATCATGCCCTG